TAACAAACATTCTGTGAATTAATTAGCAATCGTTAATTTAGATACAGAGTACTGATACTATTCGTTCTTTTGTTGGGGAAGAAAATTGAATTGCTTTTGAAAATTTTTCCTCCGAACTCTAAATCTGAACTAACTTTTAAAGTACCTTTTCTCGAATTTTAATTGTCTGATTGACCTGCTACCACTTAAAATTATAAATTACAATAAAATTCAGTGTTGCCAGGCAACCTCGAAAGCTGGAAATGTCAAGGAATTTTAAAAACGTTGAAAAAACTTGGAAAAGTCATGGGAATTTTGATAAAAGTCCTGGATAATGATTGAATTCTAAAGTTATTACGTTTATTCATGAAATCTAGTTTTACTTAAATATTTCAAAATTAATACAATTTTAAAAGAGTTGCATTTACAATTTTCACAAGTAGCTGAACTTCAAAAGGTTTTAATTTAAAATTTTGTAAAATTTCAATTTTAACTAAGTGAATTTGATTAGAAAATTTAAAAAAAATGTTGATAACAAAAATTCTTCTGAAATTAGTCAAATTTTTTAATACAAATTTAATTGATTAATGAAAAATAATGGATTTATAGAAGAATTTTAGTTAAAAACACTAAAACAAATTGAAATTTGAAGCAATTACAGATTATTACAGAAATTCAATTATTATCAAAATTATTAAAATTCTTCTCAGAAATTCAATTATTTTCAGAAATTTTAATAAAATTCTACGCATACATTTCAATATTTTCATAAATAATAAAAATTTCACAGAAATTTAATTATTTACAAAATATTTTTATAAATTATTATTTAATTATTTTAAAAAATGATAACATTTTTTGCAGGGATTTAATTATTTTTAAAAACAATAACATTTTTTACAGGGATTCAATTTTTTCCACAAACTCATCGCAGACTTTCAATTATTTTAAATACAATTTCAATAGAATTCCTCGAAAAATGTAATTATTCTTAAAAATTTTATTAAAATTTATCAAAGAAATTCAATTATTTTAAAAATCTTTGCTACAATTTATTTATTAGAATTTAAGTATTATTTTCAATACATTTTTCATTAAATTTCTTCAAAGAATTAAATTATTTTCTAAAATTTGAATAAAATTCTTTGTAACAATTAATAAAATTAAAATCTTTGAAAGTTTGAACTTTTCATACTTTTAATTAAGAATTCTGTGGAATAAATTTTTTTAAAAAAGTTTAATTGAATTTTTGTTAATTGTTTGAAGTTTTTTATTTCTATGATATTTAATTGAAGAATTTTAGAATAATCGAAATTTCGTACAATTGAATTGTAAACAAAAGGATTTGAAAATTATCAAAGAGCTTTTTAAAAAATAAATAAATAATAAATGTAATATAGAATATTTTTTAAGGGAAAATGTCAAAATTTTGTCTGGAAATCAGGGAAAAGTTAGGGAAAATCAAAATTTTGTCTAGAAATTAGGGAAAAGGCTGTAAATCAGGGAGTTATTTAATTTGGTGAAATATAAATGTAAGTAGTTTTAAAAACCTAGAAAAATTCTATTTTTCAACCGGAAAAAGTCAGTGAACTTAAAAAGAGAAAAGTTATTCAGAGCAAAGTTCGAAAATCTGTTCTTGAAATGTATGTGGATTCTGAATATTTTGTTTTTAAATTTACTCCTATTTTTGTCAATTGATTCGGATTTTAGAAAATATTGGATATAGAGAAATTGAAGAGAACGTTTTATTCTGAAATATTTTTCCTAAATTATTATTTCAAAATATTTTTTCTCGCGTGTTATAGATTATGGATATACATATATATATATATATATATATGATAGAGGAGAAATTTTTTGAAAATATCTGATATTTATCAATGTTTGAAAATAGCATAGTTTTGTTGAAGGTAACAAATTGATACGGAATATTTCCTTAAAATTTTATTTAGATTACAGTTTCTCTAAATTTTTATTGTTTATTAACCGAAAAAAAATTACAAATTTTTGGTGATTTCTTTTATCAAAACTGCATTTTTTATTTTTTTAATATGCAAAATAATTTTTCTACTAAAATTGAAAACTAAATGAAGGGAAAAAAAATTTCGTCGTTAATTATTTTAGGAACATTATGAAATTAGATAAAATTAATACCAAAAATTTAGCATATTTTTGGATATCCTCGCAATTTGATATTTTCAAGTTAAAACACATTGCGTTTCGATGAAGTTGAGAAAGTTTCCGAAAAAGAGAAAAAGTCGATTTTAATTTACGGTAAACATTATTATAGTTAGTATGCATATATATGTGTGCTTTCAATCTAGTTCGATTGGAACGTTTGCCTCATGTAGACAGGTCTCAAAGTATATAAAAATTTAATTGAAAAAACCTTTGAAATTACAAAGAAAAAGTTTTCCTGGTAATTTATTACGCTGTCGCAGCACGATTATATAACTCTTGAGCTGGGAGAAAAATGAATTTATTTAATGTTTCATCAGAAAGCCCTTGCGCGCACAGAGAGCTGATGAGTTACATAAAATGGACAAAAAAAAGGAAAATATTCGAAAAGAGGAAAAAAAAGAAGAAAAAGGTTGCTGTACACTTTGATGACGTACAAATAACAGTTAAGAATTTTATGTTTTTACATTTCCTCTTTTTTTTTATTTTTTTGCTTTGTTTATGAAACGTTTTCAATTAACGGTTCCACTGATATGTTGAGGTATTCTTTTGTTTCGTTAAAAAATTTTTTTTTGACTTTTTAATTTTTTTTCTTTAGCAATTTCTTTTTAATTTAACAGTTCAATTGAAATGAAAATGGATATTTAAAAGTCGAATGGGAATAATAATTTTTGTGATGCTGTCTAGGGAATGTTTTACTTCAATCAAATATATAAAATATATTTGTGTAAAATAAATGTTTATTTCTCTCATCTATTTATTTGTGGAAAATAAAAATTTTATTTTGTAGAAGTAAATTCTTTTGGAGCGGAAATGAATTTATTTAAAGCGAATAAAATTGAAGGCATTCAAATAAATTAATTAATAATAAAATAAGTTAAATAAATTTTTGTTTAGTTCAAATAAATTTTATTCTAAGAAGCATTTTATTTGATTGAAAATATATTTCAATCAAATTATATTTTCCTATAATATAAGAAATAATATAATAATTAATTTAATTATAACAATAATATTTTTCATATAAATTTAAACCAAATAAATTAATAATAAAATAAATGGGTAACATTTATTAGTTACAAGTAATTTTTTTGTTGGATTGAATTTTTATTTTAATGAAATAAAATTTATTTGTAAAAAATAAAATTCATTTGTAAAAAATAAATTTTTGTTTGGTTTAAATAAATTTTTTGTTGACCAAATTAAAATTATTAAAAAATAAATTTAATTTGATTCAAATATATTTTATTTGGTTCAAATAAAATTTGTTTGAAACAAATAAATTTCTATTTGGCCGTGAAACAAATAAACCTTTTCTCTGGGTGTGGGAAGATAAAAGAAAAAAAAAAGGATGGAAACATTTGAATGGAATTTATCCAAATTGTTTTCGGTTTATTTTCCAAGTGTTACCATTTAAATGGAAATTATCTGTTAGGTAATTTCGATTTTCGGGAATATAATAGAAGTTCGAATCGCGTAATTACTTAATAGTTTACGGGAAATGTGAGCGAAATTAAAATAGTTTTGTTCGTTAGATCGAACTCATCGTCATGCGGTCATTGAGGCATTCAATTTACATATAAGTATCATGCCCATCCACAAATGAGCACGTAATTCGCTTTATTTTATATGGAATTGATTTTATCTCATTCGTTAAATATCACTTTCATTTTAACTAAATAGATTTTAATCTAATTTGAACTATATATGTTTCACGGTTGAAACACAAATATTCTTAATTAGTTCCAATCCGCACTCTTTTTTTCGAAAAAGAAAAAAGAATTCGCTCTCAAAATTCTTTTTAATGTAAATTATTTTAAATAATACAGATTTAGGAATGAATGAAATAATATAAATTGATAGTAAAAAAATAATTAATAATTGCCAAACAGAATTTTTTTTAACAAAATAAAATTTATTCGAACAAAATTATATTCGAATTTTAATTAAAATTCGAATATAATTTTGTTTGGTTCGAATAAATTTTATTTTGTTAAAAATAATTTTGTTTCGTTCGAATAAATTTCATTTGGTTGAAACAAAATTTTGTTTTTAAATAAATTTTAATTGGTTGGAACAAAATTTTGTTTGGCACAAATAAAAAAATTTTTTTTGTGGTATACAATTTTTATTTATTTATAACTGGAATAATTTATATTTAGTTTAAATAGAATTTTTCTCTGGGCGTGAGGAGAGAATAAAAAAATTGAATTGAGGAGAAAAATAAAAAATTAAATTGAGACCAGAATAAATAATGGAGATTTCATAAATTTCTGGACGTTAATTAATCATATTTGTAAATTCGGTGTAAAAATGAGAAATCTAACCTCATGGGTGGTAGACGTTGTCATCGATTAGGTCTTAAGCCTTTGAAATTTCGTGACAAATAATCTTCGAAGCCTTGAGACTGCTTTCTTTATTTTTTTCTCAAGTATCAAAATAAGCTCGGAGCTTTTCGTCTCGAGTGTTGATTAATCATCTCATAATATTCGCGTATTTATGAAGTGAAACGATTTACAAATCAGAGAAATTATTTCAATTTTGCAAGAGACTGAAAAATAAATATCCAAGAATTTTTTATGGAATACTGTAGAGTTGGTTATTAATAAATTAAAAGATAATAATAAATATGGAAAGAAAATTTTTTTTAATAAAAAAACTCCAAATTATTTGTAATTTTGTAATTTTGGAAAAAAAAATCAAATTTAGAATTAGAAAAAATAAAATTTATAATAAAACATTAATAAGAGACCAAGTGTCACTTATCAAATAGAATGTAAGAATTCTCGGGCTGTGAATGAAAGAAGACAAAGAAAGAGAAACAAGGAAAATAAGAGATAGATATGCTGAGACTGCCACTCAGACTTCCCCTTAGGTCTCTGGTAATAAACAATCTTACTCTCACCTGCCTTTTGTGTGCATACTTCACTACCTTGCTTCTTTTTTTTCTCTCTCTCTCATTCTCTATACCGTTGAAGAGGCAAGACAATCGTGAAATGCCTCCGGCTCATCTATGGAGACTTGAAGTAGAAAAAACTATCTTTTCTGGGTACATTGCTAATTTGTACACAGGACTCTCCTCAGCTCTCTAATTTTACTTCATTCTTTCATAAAAACTTTTTTTTTCTTACTCATTTTTCCATTTTGTTTGAAAAATGAAATTTATTTTTTTTTTCAAAATTATTTTCATTGTGTTTATTATTTCAAACTAGATTTTTTTTGTTTGGAATTAAATTATATTGTATTTGAATCAACAATTTTAGTATTTGATTCAAATATCAATTAATTAATTAATTTGATTTAGGACGAAAAGTTCGTAAATTGTTCGATATGTTTTTGGAGAATTTTAGAGAAATTACAAATGATTGCAGAAATTCAATTATTTTAAAAAGTAATGAAATTCTTCGCAGATAATCAATTATATTCAAAATTTTTTTTAAATTTACGTCAAACTTCCAATTATTTTTAGAGATAATTAAATTCTTCTTTGAAATTCAATTATTTTCAAAAATTTTATTAAAATTCTTGAGAAAATTTCAATTATTTTCTAAAATTTTCCTCAATTCAATGATTTTTAATATATACTATTTTAATAAAATTTTCCAAAAGAATTCAATTATTTAAAATTATTTATTATGAAAATTATTTAAATTCTTTGTAAACCTTTAATTATTTTCATAAAATAATAAAAATTTAACAGGAATTCAATTATTTGCAAATTTTTTTTATAAATTTCTTCTCAATCATTCAATTATTTTCATAAATAATAAAATTTTTTCAGGGATTCAATTATTTTCGTAAATCATAAAATTCTTTTTAGAAATTCAATTATTTTTAGTGTTGCATTCGAGAATCTCTCCTTTCATACAAGAAAAAAGACAGAACTTAAGTATTCATTTATTTACCATGTATTTTTGACGAGATTCTCGTTTTTTCGATCTTTTCCGAGCGACTTCTTCCTCAAATGCAACACTATTTTCATGAATTATAAAACACATTGCAGAATTTCAATTATTTTTAATGCAATTATTTTAATCGAATTTCTCGAAAAATATAATTATTCTTGAAAATTTTATTAAAGTTCGCCAAAAGAATTTAATTATTTTAAAATTTGTTAATAAAATTCTTTATGGTAATTGAATTTTAAGAAACATTCAATTATTCAATAAATTATTTATTTTTGTATTTAAATCATTGAATTCTAGTAGAATTTTTTTATAAAAATTGATTTAAAAATGAATTTTATTTGAACGTTTAGATTATAATTAAATATTAAAAGTATTACAGCATGAATTTTTAGAAATAATTGAATTTCGAAATTAATTTTTTTGAAAAAGTTTAATTGAATTTTTTTAATGTTATTTTAAGTTTTTAATTTCTAATATATATATATTTAATTGGATTCCCAGTAATTCAATTATTTTCAAAATTTTTAATTCATTACAAAATTTCAATTATTTTCAAAAAAATTCCCTAATTCAATAATTTGTATATTTATTTTCTTTTAATAAAATTTCCCAAAAGAATTCAATTATCCTAAAAACAATTTTGACAAAATTCTACACGAATATTCAATTATTTTCTAAAATTATAAAAATTTCACAGGAATTTAATAAAAATAGAATTTGTCAAAGTTTAAGATAATAATTAAATTTTTGAGGAGTTATTAATAATTGCAATTTTTAGAAATAATTAAATTTTGTAAAATTTTCAAATTAAAATCTTTGAATATCTGAATTTTTCACACTTTTAACTAACAATTTTGAAGAAATAATTTTTTTGAAGAAGTTTAATTAATTTTTTTAAAATTATTTGAAGTTTTCGTTTTCTAATATATATTTATAATTGAAGAATTTACGAATAATTGAAATTTTTTTAAATTGAATTGTAAACAAATAAATTTGAAAATTCTCAAAAAACTAACAAACTTTTTCAAAAATTATTAAAAATAATGCATTTATAAAAGAATTTCAGATAAAAACACGATAAAAAAAGTTTAATTTTGGAAAAGTTACAAATTATTGCAGAAATTCAATTATTTTCAAGAGTAATAATATTCTTCGCAAAAATGAAATATTTTACAAAAAATAATCAAATTCTTCTACGGGATTCAATTATTTTCACAAATAATAAATCCCATCGCAGAATTTCAATTATTTTTAATACAATTTTAACCGAATTTCTCGAAAAATGTAATTGAACTTGAAAATTTTATTAAAATTCGTCGAAAGAATTCAATCATTTAAAATTTTCTAATAAAATTGATTTGAAAATGAATTTCAGTTAAAATTTTATATAATAATTGAATATTGAAAGCATTATAGTGTGAATTTTTAGAAATAATTGAATTTTGAACTTAATTTTTTTGAAAAATTTTAATTGAATTTTTTTTTATTTTTTAAGTTTTTATTTTCTAATTTAATTAAAGAATTTACGAATAATTGAGATTTCGTATAATTGAATATTGTAAATAAATGGATTTGAAAATTGTCAAAGAATTTTTTCGAAAATTATTAAAAATAATCGATTTAAAGAAGAATTTTAATTAAAAATTCTTAAAAATAATAACTGAATTGATAATGAAAAAAAAATTTTTTTAATTAAAAAATTAAATTACAGTTTTAAGTAAAATGTTCTCTTATTTGGCTCGGGCTGGTTATATTTTTGTCAGTACATAATTGGTCCGTAATTTTTCATTGTTGGTCCGTAAAGTCCGTATTTTTAAATACTTTTACTGGTTCGAGCTCTAAAATAAAAATGATTTGATTAAGTAAATATTTAATTGATAATAGAAAAGTAATTGGTTAGTTGAATCAAATAAATATTTTCAGTGTACCTTTTATTTAGCTAAAAAATTTAATTACAAAAAATAAATGAATAAAATAAAAAAAACTAAATTAAAAAAGTAATCAAATAAAAAAAAACTCTTTAATGAATTGTGATTAATTAATTCGCAATTAATTGTAAGAATTATAATTAATAAGTCTTAGAATATTATTAATTGATAAAAGTTACGTTTAATAATTGAGAAGACTCTCTCGCAAATATTATGAAAAGTTTTATTATTGATAAAAGTTCTAGTTCAACTTTTACACATTTTCATTTTTCTTGAGATATTTTTAAAGGTGAAAAATGAGTTTTTTTTCCGTGCAAGAAGATTTATGAAGTTATTTATTGAAATAAATTCGAATATATATAGTTATGAAATTGGTCCGTAGATTTGTATACTAGAAGAATATACAGCAGTTGCTTTTTCATTTTTTTTTTAAAATGTTAAAATGAGTGTGTGTCATGTGCGGAAGTTCTTTGCTTGAAATCTATGTAAAACGAGGATACAAAATCCTTTTTGCCTTTGACTTAACATTTTTCTTCGAGATCGGCTGATTTACGGGGGGAATTTGGAAGTGAGCCAGCGTGTCGACGCTCCTCACTGAAATAAATTGCCGCCCAAGTGTCTGCACCTCGAAGGAAATGCGAAAAGTTTTGAATTCAAAAAAAGGACTACCAACTTTTCGGTTGGAAAAAAAAATTAAATTCGATTTCAATATATTTATATTCAGAAAGGTTCCCCGCTTTCCTTCGATTCAGAAGCTGGATGAAAAAAAAAGAACTAATCAGATCGAAAGTGTAGAGTATTCTCTGGACGAAATGATTCCTCTCTCTCTCTCTCTCTCTCTCTCTCCTTTTTTTTCTTTTTGACTAATCTTTATTCATTCTCGAATAATATTATCTTCCGTGATAAATGAACGCGATTAGTCAGAGAGAAATGGGAATTGTGGAAGTTTGTTGGAAATGTGGACCAGAATCTAAAAAATCCGATAATTCGCTCTTTCGTATATTTTTATTTTTTAAATTATTAATTAAAATTGATAAATAAATTATTTAAATTTACCTTAAAAAAATTTACAAACTAAAATTTATTTTTCTATTATATTTACTGATCTAAAAATCGGATAAGTTGCTTTTTTTTAAATTGTAATTTAAAATTCATAATCAAATGATAATTATTTAAAATTAAGTATTAATTTGCAATGTTAGTTAATTTTAATTTACATAGTTAAAAACAATTCCATAAAATTATTTTAATAAAGTTATGATTTTATTTAATTACTTGGATATATTTGTATATTTGGATTTATATAATTATTTCCCTCGCTGATATAATTCTTTTTATAAAGAGTATTAATTTTTTCCTCCATTAGATTTTTATGGTTTTTCGTTGAATTTTTTGTTTTTAATTTTTCACAAAATGAAAAAGTTGAGTGCGCAAGTTTTAAAAAGATTTAATGAAGAGAACATGGAATAGTGTACTAACGACTTTAGTGAGCTACTTTAATGAAAGTTAAACAATAGGGCAAAGGAGAAAGAAGTTGTCCTTTCTTTTCAAAGTCTCTTGATTAAATCTGTTCTTGGACTTCTGGTACGACTTTGAAGCAGTCGAAATAAAAGTTCGAAAAAAAAGGAAAAGAAGGAGAAATATTCTTCCGGCAAAGTTCATCGAGCAAGAAGGGTATTTCTTTCTTGAAACTAAATAGTGGAAATTATAAATTCAAGGGCCACTTCTTGTTCAAATTGACATTGTCACTTGTTTAAGGCAGGGAAAATTTTTCTCGATAATCGTTTAGAGGAAGTAGAAAAATTTCTTTTTAGAGGAAATAAAATATTTTTGGACGTAATAAAAAATTTCTTTTTTTGGAGGTAAGAAAATATTTCTTTTTGGAGAATATAAAATATTTTTTGAGGAAATAAAAAATTTCTCTTTCGAGGAAATAAAATATTTTTGGACGTAATAAAAAATTTCTTTTTTTGCAAGTAAGAAAATATTTCTTTTTGGACGAAATAAAAGTTTCTTTTTGGAGGAAATAAAAATTTGTTTTTGGATGAAATAAAAAAATTTCTTGTTAAAAGAAAAATGAAAATAGAGGGAAAATTCTTTATGGAGTGCGTATCCTTTTCTGAAGGAATAACTTCGCTTGTCATTCGTTTTCTATGATGCTTTGATGTTCAATGCTGATTCTACTTGTTGAGTAAAGTTCCGAGTTTCACCTATTGAAAGATATAGTGTGTGCTTTCGAACAGTACATATACATACGTATCTTTGTTGCACGTCCTCTGAAAAATTTACAGGAAATTGGGGAATATTTCTTTTTTTTGGGGGAAAATTGGAATTTTGTGAATTTTTTTTTAAATCACCTGCTCTTAATATTTTTTTCTTTTCACTTTTCCTTCTAGGTTTTCTTTCTTTAATTTTTGTTTTTTTCTTCTTTCTACATTTTATTTTTCTTCTTTTCTTTCTTCCACTTTTTCTACTTTATTTTCTTTTTTCTATTTTTTCCTTCTTATTTTTCTTCTTTTTTCTACTCTTTATATTTTTCCTTTTTTCTTTTTATTTTATTATTTTTATTTTTTCCCTTCTCATTTTTCCTACTTTTGATTTTTTTCCTTTTCCTATTTTTATTTCTCCTTTTCTTCCTTTTTTTATTTTCTTTTTTCAATTTTGTCCCTTCTTATTTTTCTTCTTTTTTCTACTTTTTATATTTTTCCTCTTTCCTTTTTATTTTATTATTTTTATTTTTCCCTTCTTATTTTTTCTACTTTTTATTCTTTTCCTTTTTCTATTTTTATTTCTCCCTTTCTTCTTTTTTTCTTTTCTTTTTTTCAATTTTGTCCCTTCTTATTTTTCTTCTTTTTTCTACTTTTTATATTTTTTCTCTTTCCTTTTTATTTTATTATTTTTATTTTTTCCCTTCTTATTTTTCTTACTTTTTATTTTTTTCCTTTTTTTATTTTTATTTCTCCCTTTCTTCTTTTTCCTACTTTCATTTTTTTCCTTCTTTTTCTCCTTCTTCTTTTTTCAATTATTTGTTTTTTTCTTTTTTCTGTTTTTTATTTTTTTCCTTTTTTTCTACTTTCTTTTTTTCCTTCTTTTCTCTCTACTTTTTCTTATTCATTCTACTTTTAATTTTTTTTCTTCCTACTTTTTATTCTTCTTCTACTTTTTTTTTATCTACTTTTCTTCTTTTTTCTACTTTTTGTTTCTCTCCATCTTCTATTTCTTCTACTTTTCATTTTTCCATTTTTCCCCTTCAATTTCTTTTTTATTTTTCTTCTACTTTTTCTATTTTTATTGCTCCTTTTCTTCTTTTTCCTACTTTTTATTTTCTTTTTTCTTTTTTTTCCCTTCTTATTTTTCTTCTTTTTATATATTTCATTTTTCTCGTTTGATTCTAGTTTCTTTTTTTCTATTTTTTATTTTTCTCTTTTTTCTTCTACTTTTCTTCATTTCTTCTTTTTATTTTTCTCCTTCATCTTTTTTTTTACTTATTATTTTTCTTCTATATTTTTTCCCTTTTCCACTTTTTGTTTCTCTCCATCCACTTTTTTTTCTACTTTTTCTATTTTCTATTTCTCTCTTTCTTCTTTTTCCTACTTTTTATTTTTTTCCTTCTTCTTTTTTTCAATTATTTGTTTTTTTTTCTTTTTTCTGTTTTTTCTTTTTTTCTACTTATGTTGTTTCTCTCCATCTTCTTTTTCTTCTAATTTTTATGTTTCCACTTTTTCCTTTTGAGTTTGTTTTTTATTTTTCTTCTACTTTTTCTATTTTCTATTTTTACCTTTCTTCTTTTTCCTAATTGTTATTTTTTCCTTCTTTTTTTCAATTATTTGTTTTTCTCCTTTTTTTCTTCTTTTTTCTGTTTTGTATTTTTTCCCTTTTTTTCTAGTTTCTTTTTTTTATTTTTCTCCCTTCTTTTCCTTATTCTTTTTCTTATTTTTTCTACTTTTAATTTTTCTTCTTCTTTCTACTTTTTATTCTTCTCCTACTCTTTTTTCATCTACTTTTCTTCTTTTTTCTACTTTTTTATTTTTCTCCATTTTTTTCTACTTTTTATTCTTCTTCTTTTTCTTCTGCTTTTTTCTTTTTACTCCTTTTCATTTTTGTCCTTCTTCTGATTGTCTTTCCTCTTTTAATTTTTTCTTTTTGTTCACTTTTAATACTTTTTTCTCGCCTTCTTTTTTTCTTTTTTAACCATCTTTTATTGTTTTATCTTTCTTTTTTTCTGGAGTTAAAATTCTTGTAAAAACTATAAATTTTTCCATAAAATCTTGAAGATTGTAGGTATAAAGGAGAAGGAGAAAAAGAAGAATTACTTCTTGAAAGTTTTTTTTTATTCTTATTAAATTATTCTCGCTTCTGATTCTTGTTAGAATTTTAATTAATTTTTATTTACAATTCTCTTACCACTTTCACAGGATGTGTACTGTGTACATATTTAAGTCTACTGTACAGTCAACCACAAAATTAATTAATACATCAATCATGAGAGTTTAACACTTCTGGAAAAAATAACTTTATAAAAAATTTATTTCAAAATTAATTATAAAAAAAAATCTATTTTTATAATTAATTTTTTCTTCTGGCATTGAAAAAAAAATGCTAGATATTTTTACAATGAAAGAAATTTGTAAATAAATGTAATAGAACATTTTTTTTTTGAGTATCTAGATATTTTGAGAGTGAATCAGAATAATTATTTTTTTGGTTGAGGAAAAAAGTGAAAATTTTTCCTGGAAATCAGGGAAAAGTGAAGGAAAAAAGAAAATAAAATTTTTGTGGCAAATCTGCAATTTATTTATTTAATTGCTGAGAGTTTAGTGTAGATTTATTTTGAATGAACCAATGAAAATTTGAGAGAATGATATGACGTTGTTAGCGGTGTAATAGATATATAGATATGGGTTTATATGCGCATTCAACATTCATTGACCGCTCGTTAGAGGATGTCAATTTGTCTGTTTTATATATAACCATGAACCGAGAAGTGAAGCATTCCAATTAGGAAGTTTCAATTAATATTTGACGCCAAACATCCCTCACGGCAACAAACTATATCTATATAGAGAGATACTCTATGGGGATAGGGTGAATTAGGCGAAGTTGGCAACGCGTGTGCGACAACATTTTTACAACTTGTCCTTTATATTTATATACACGCGAGGCAAAATGGATGGGGAAAAAGGGCTTTTTGCTTCTCTCAACTTGAAATCACAAAAGTCTGCCTAAATCAACGATCCTATCCAACATATATAGTCCTTGAGGGGATTTGCACAAGATCCTCGCACCCTTATACTGCACTTGAGGACACGAGTCTTATGTACCTACCTGGTGTTTCGTTAAGTTTCGTCCCGGACTTGGCAAATACACACACACTTTTCCCTAGAATTTCTCTCTCTCTCTCTCTCTCTCTCTCTCTCTCTCAACGATATCGTCTCTCCTCCAAAGGGGGTTTATTCACAACAATCAAAGTTTCTGTTGAAAACAAGATTGAAAGTTCATGTAAACGTTTATAGTAGAAATTTAGTTTGAATAAAGTTGATAAACAAATATTTCTTACTATAATATAAAATATTGGTTCGAATTTCAAGGGGTTTTTTTTTTAATTTTTGAACGAAATTGGGTTGAATTGGATTTTTATGGAGATGAAGAATTTTTATGTGGAAATTTTTATAAGTAGCATAATTTTTATTTAGTTTTTTTTATCTAACGGTAATGTTGTTAAGAAGAATTTGTTTTTATGGAATAGAAGATTCCATTTATATTTAACATAATTTTTATTCAACACAATTTTTATTCAGCTTAATTTTCATTCAACTGGAATTTTCTATAACAAGAATTTTTTATTCAACACAATTCACATTTGTTGTGATTTTTTATAGGGTTTTCGATTGGCAGAATTTTATGTTACTAATTTTTATTTTAATATATGAATTTTTAATTTGATAAAAAAAATTCTACTCAATTAATTGAATTTCCATTCAAATAATTAAATGTCTACTCAATTAATTGGATTTCCAATGAATTAAGGGAATTCTATTCAATCAATTGACTTTTTATTTAAATAATTGAATTTCTATTAAACGAATTCGATTTTATGTTCAAATAATTCTATTTAAATAATTTAATATCTATTTAAGAAATTGAATTTCTATTAAACGAATTCGATTTTATGTTCAAATAATTAAATTTCTATTCAATGAATTGAATTTTCCCTCAATTAATGGAGTTTCTATTCAAATAATTGAATTTTCATTTAATTAATGGAATTTTTATTCAAATAATTCAATTTCTATTGAATAAGTGTAATTTTTATTCAAATAATTGAATTTTCATTGAATTAACGGAATTTTTATTCAAATAATGGGATTTCTATTTAAATAATTCAATTTCTATTTAAAGAACTGAATTTCTATTGAATAAGTGGAATTTTTATTCAAACAATTGAATTTCTATTCAAAGAATCGAATTTTCATTGAATTAACGGAATTTTTATTCAAATAATGGAATTTCTATTTAAATAATTCAATTTCTATTTAAAGAATTGAATTTCAATTGAATAAATGGAATTTTTTTTCAAATAATTGATTTTCTATTCAATGAATTTAATTTTACGTTCAAATAATTGAATTCCTATTCAAAGAATTGAATTTCAACTTAATTAATGGAGTTTCTATTCAAATAATTGAATTATCATTAAATTAACGCAAATTTTATAGAATTAATTGAATTTATATTTAAATAAATAAATTTCTATTTAAAGAATTGAATTTCCATTCAATCAATCGAATTTCTATTCAATTAATGGAGTTTCTATTCGAATAATTGAATTTTCATTAAATTAACGGAATTTCTATTGAATTAATTGAATTTATATTTAAAGAATTGAATTTCATTGATTAAGTGGGATTTTTTTCAAATAATTGAATTTTTATTCAATGAATCGAATTTCCATTTAATTAATGGAATTTCTTTTTAAATAATTGAATTTCCATTTAATTAATGGAATTTCTTTTTAAATAATTGAATTTCCATTGAATTAATGGAATTTTTCTTGAAATAATTGATTCCCATTCAATTAATGGAGTTTCTATATTCAAATAATTGAATTTTCATCGAATTAATGGAATTTCTATTGAATTAATTAAATATCTATTTAAATAATTTAATTTCAATTTAAATAATTGAATTTCTATTGAAAGAATTGAAGTTTCATTGAAGGAGTGAAATTTTTATTTTGAATAATTGAATTTCCATTCAGTTAAAGGAATTTCTATTGAAAGAATTGAAGTTTCATTGAAGGAGTGAAATTTTTATTTTGAATAATTGAATTTCCATTCAGTTAAAGGAATTTCTATTCAATTAATTGAATTTCTGTTTAAAGAATTGATTTTCCATTGAATAAGTGCAATGTTTATTAAAATAATTGAATTTCCATTGAATTAGTGAAATTTTTATTTAAATAATTGAATTTACATTGAATGAGTGAAATTTTTATTCAAATAATTGAATTTACAATTTTACATTTAATAAATGAAAATCGTATTAAATAAAAATTAAGTCTTTAAAAAAAACATGTTTTTTAATTAAAAATCGAATTAAAAATTCTCTCTCTCGTTTAAAAATTTTATTTCAGAAAAAAATAAAAATTAGAGAAATAATTCACCCTACTCGCTTTATTTATAAATGAAGTTTTCGCGAAATGTAAATCTATTTTAGAAAAAATAAACTCCTCACATTCCTTTTTTTTCATCGCAAAGCATGAAAAATATTTATATATAAATATCGTCTGGTATAAATTATCATGAATTGCCCTAAATAGTGAACCTTAAAAATACCAAGATATTTTATTCTTTTCAATAAATGTGCCAAATTCGTGGAGTGCATAATATCAAAAGAAATTTATTTAAAGGTATTTTCTACCAATAGATCTCCTGAATAAGCTCGTCTTTCAGATTCTCGTGAATAATTCAACCAAGAGATAGACAAGCACTTCTCCATCTGTAGAGAAGAAAATAAATAAATATATATGTATAGAGAGAGCCTTAAAAAGAAATCATTCTATTTAAACAAGAAAACTTCTGTATAACATAATAATTATTCATATAATGTAGATTTTTTACTATACAAAATTTAAATCATTTTTTTTCTCAACTTTTTTTCCTATATGGAATCGTATTCTACAATTTAGGAGATATATGTGGTTTTTGAATATTAATTTGTTGGTTATTGTATTTTTAATTTCTGGTTTCTGTATTTTATTTTATTTTTTTATTTTTTTTATTTTTATTTATCGTTTTTTGTTTATATTTATTAAATTTATTTTATTTTCGGTTTATTTATTTTATTTCCTTTTTTGTTTCATGTTTTAATATTATTTTTACTTTGATTATTTTATTTCTTTTTGTTTTTTATTTAACTCATTGGTTTTTGTGTTCAATTATTTTTTCCTTTGGTTTTTATCGTTTTATTTACTTTTTTTTGGATGTAACTAATTTTAAATGGCAATTTTTTTTCTAAAATTGACATGGATTGTGTGTGAAATATTTTCGTTGAAGCTTCATAGAAATAGTCGAACCGGAGTGTGTGTGTGGTGGCTGATAAATGTCGAAACAGAGCAGAAAATGTTTTTGCTCTCGTCTACGGACTTTGTTACCTTGATAGTTACTTTGTTCTTCCATTCCTATATATACAGTTTGTTCTCTCGACCACGCCTCGACTTGGAAATTATACGTCAGAGTTTCTAAGTTTGATGTCAGTTTTACGTGTGTTTCGTTAATTAAGAAAATCTTCTAACGCTTCCTCAAACTTTCGGGGGACTAGCAAAATTCAGGTCATAGATAGAAAACTTTTTAAATCCTCTAAAGCTGCTGACTCTAAGGTGGTGTCCTTTTTTTATTTCTCTCTCCCTCTCTCTCTCTCTCTCTCTACACTCAGAGAAAATTTTTATTTAAACCAAATATAATTTATTTGAATTAAATAAAAGTAGTCAATTTTTTTTTTAAAAAAGGTCCGTCAAGTCCGTAATTTGATTGAGAAAAGACGAAAAGTTCGTAAATTGTATGATATAATTTTGAGAAATTACAAATGATTTCAGAAATTCAATTATTTTCAAAAGCAATAAAATTCTTCGCAGAAATCCAATTATGTTCAACAATATTTAAAACTTCTTGTCAAATTTTCAATTACCTTTAGAAATAATTAAATTTTTCTCTGAAATTCAATTATTTTCAAAAATTTTAATAAAATTCTTGGCAAAATTTAAATTATTTTCAAAAATTATCCTCAATTTAATGATTTTTAATATTTACTATTTTAAAAAAATTTTCCAAAAGAATTCAATTATTTAAAAAAAAAATTAATAAAATTCTACGCAGACCGTTAATTATATTCATAAAATAATAAAAATTTAACAGGAATTCAATTATTTACAAATGTTTTATAAATTTCTTCTCAATCATTCAATTATTTTCATTAATAATCAAATTTTTACAGGGATTCAATTATTTTCGTAAATAATAAAATTCTTTTTAGGAATTCAATTATTTTCATAAATAATAAAACTCGTTGCAAAATTTCAATTATTTTTAATACAATTTTAAGCAAATTCTTCGAAAAATGTAATTATTATTATTAAAAATTTATATTTGATTTATAAAATTCTTTATGAAAATTCAAGTTTAAGAAACATGGAATTATTTAATAAATTATTTTTTTTATTTAAATAATTGAATTCTAGTAGAATTTTCTAATAAAAATTGATTTAAAAATGTATTTCAGATAAAATTTTATATTATAATCGAATATTAAAAGCATTTTTAGAAATAATTGAATTTTGAAAAGGATTCATATTAAAATCTTTAAAAATCTGATTATTTCATACTTTTAAAACTAAAAATTCAGTAGAATTATTTTTTTTAAGGTTTAATATTTTCATAAATAATAAAAAATTTTATAGGGATTCAATTATTTTCGTAAATATTAAAAGTCATTGCAGAATTTCAATTATTTACAATTTATTTTCATAAATTACAAAACTCATCGAAGAATTTCAATTTTTTTTTAATACAATTTTAATCAAATTCCTCGAAAAATGTAATTATTCTTAAAAATTTTATTGACATTCGTCAAAAAATTCAATTATTCGATAAATTATTTATCTTTATATTTAAATAAGTGGAATCTCGTAAAATTTTCTAATAGAAAAAAAATTTTTCAATAAAATTCTTGGCAAAATTTCATTTATTTAAAAAAAAAAGATTGTTGATAAAATTCGACGCGAGCATTTAATTATTTTCATAAATAATAAAAATTTCACAGAAATTAAATTATTTACGAATTTT